GGTTCAGTGGGGTGGGGTGCTGCCAGAGAAGCTGGTGGCAGTGGGGGTGACCCAGAAGTGTTTCAGGCCTTGCTTCGTCCCAGCAGACAGCCTGGAGTGCTGAGTGCGGAGCTGGCAGTGCCTGTGCTGGGCCCCTACCTCCTTCCACCGGGTACTCACCTTCCCCGCTGTGTTCCTGGGCAGGTACAAAAGGAAAGGGCAGGTGAAGCAAGAGCACGTGGCGGGGGCTGCAGATGGCCAGCTCTCCGTCCTCCAGCCCAACACCATCAACGTCCTCGCTGAGAAATTGAAGGAATCTCAAAAGGATCTTTCCATTCCCCTGTCCATCAAGACGAGCGGTGGAGGTACTGCCGTGGCGGTGGTTACCCACTCCCAGCCCTCTCCCACCCCCAGCAACGAAAGCACGGACACCGCCTCTGAGATAGGCAGCGCCTTTAACTCCCCGCTGCGCTCTCCCATCCGCTCGGCCAACCCCACCCGCCCCTCCAGCCCCGTCACCTCCCACATCTCCAAGGTGCTCTTCGGTGAGGAAGACAGCCTGCTGCGCGTCGACTGCATGCGCTACAACCGGGCTGTCAGGGACCTGGGGCCCGTTATCAGCACCGGCCTGCTGCACCTCACGGAGGATGGCGTGTTCTGCCCGCTGGCTGTTGCAGGTAGGTGCCTGCCAGCTTTTGGGGGGGCAGCATCTCCCCTGCGGTGACGGGACAGTGTCTTTTTAGTTAAGGAGCGGATGCCGGTCCTTTGCGATGGCTGGTAACACTTCCTTCCCCTGTGCGCAGATGGGGGTAAAAGCTCCCCACCTTCCATCAAACCCGGTGAAGAGGCCCCGGTCGCAATCAAACTGGACGAGAAGGAGGGCAGTGAGGCCAGTGACAGCAAAGAGAAGGTGGGACTTGGCAGGACCAGTGATCACCCTGGGGGGGAAAAGTATTCTCCCAAGGTGAGTTTTGTGCTGCGACAGCCCTGGGAACGTGGAGCTCCCTGTGCTCACCCAGAGACGCAGCAGCGCTGGCAGTGACCGAACCGCATGTGCACGCTGTCCCGCTCGCATGTGTCGCCGCAGCCGTGCCTCGAGGCACAGGGCAGTGCAGGTTTTGTGCCTTGCGTCATTTCGGGGACATTTGCCTTGGTGGTGCGCAGAGCCACTGTCTCCCACAGCTGAGACGTTCGGCGTGCTGTGCTCTCCTTTGGGCCAGAGGCTGGTGGGACCCTGCACCCCCAAATCCCATCCTGCTCTTTACTGCCTGTCTCTGCCCTCCAGCCAGAGACAGGACCAGGCTCAGGCAGCACAAGCTCATCAAGGGCTCCCTGGAGGAGGGCTGGCTAGGAGCTGTTTTACTCAAAAGCGAAGTCTTCAAATTTTGTTATTGAGAAGAACCAGGCCCAGGGGTGCTTTTCAGGCATGCAGGCAACCCTTCCCCCTGTCCCAGAGAACCAGGTACATGGGCCTGGGGTGGGACCCAGCTCCTCTGGGGCTGGCTGATTGATCACCCTCTGACCCAGAAATTCCCTACAATGAACTGACCTTTTTTTCCCCTGGCAAGTGTTTTTTTTTCTTTGATGAATCCTCCCTTTCCCAGCGCAGAGAGGAACACCCACCAGCTCACCCCGCTGGCTCCTGGGCTGCAGCAGGGGTCCTTCTGCTCACGTTTGCTCTGCTTGATCCTGGCAGGAGCTGCTGGCGCTGCTGAAGTGCGTGGAGGCAGAGATTGCAAACTACGAGGCCTGCCTGAAGGAAGAGGTGGAGAAGAGGAAGAAATTCAAGGTGTGTTTATTGATGGCTTATTTTGCGTTGCCCGTTTAGCTCCCTGGAGGCTTCTGTCTGGCGTGTTTTTATGTCAAAGTGGAAGGAGAGTGGTTCAGCTGAGAAGGGCGATGGGGAATGTTCGGGGTCCTTTTCCTGTTACCAAATGGCTCTACGGGGCAGAGCTCCCACCAGGACAGACGCAAGCCCCTGGGCAGCACTAACCAGATTGAGGAGGATGGTGTGGAGCGCTGCAGCTGGGCCACAGCTGAACATCAGCACTGACAGGAGGGAGGGGGGAGTCTCTGCACCAAGGCCTGGCAGGATTCCTTCCCTGCCCACCCTTGCCTCTTCTCAGCTGCCCTTGGTGGAAAATGCTGGCATCTGAACTGGGACGGGGACGGTCCCAGTTGAGCACTGGCCTGAGCTGGGCTGGGAGGTGCGTCCCTTCCTTGCTCTGGTCTCTCTGGCTGTGGGTTGGGCAAGGCGTGCTGGTTCTTTGCTCCCTGTTAGCCCTGAGCTCTCCTTTCTCCGTGCCACCCGTTTGTGGATTGTTTGTGCATTTATTTCTCTGTAGATTGATGACCAGAGGAGAACCCACAACTACGATGAGTTCATCTGTACCTTCATCTCCATGCTGGCCCAGGAAGGTGAGCCATGCTGCGCGGCCAAGGGGACGGAGCATGGGGTTCGTTCAGATTCAGCGGGGGGAGCTGCCCTGAGGGTGGCAGAGCAGCGGCTGGGAGCCTGGGAAGCTCACCCAACCTGGCTCCCCGTTTTTGCCAGCCCTAGGGCACGAGGTAGCGCTCAGTCTGAGGAGCCGCACATCTCCGCTCTGTGTCTTTCTGATTTTATAGTCCCAGGAGGAGCCCACTGATGGGTTTTGGGTGAGGGAGGGAGGGCTGCACTCTGGCATGGGCAATACCAGCACTCCAGCGCGGGGCATGTCTGTCTGCCTCTCCCCCTGCAGGCATGCTGGCAAGCCTCGTGGAGCAGAACATCTCTGTCCGCAGGCGGCAGGGAGTCAGCATCGGCCGTCTGCACAAGCAAAGGAAACCGGACCGCCGGAAACGTTCCCGCCCATATAAAGCCAAGCGGCAGTAGCCTGTGGGTCAAGACTGTGCGTAGAAGCAGCTAAGCTTTGTGGCTTTGGGCAGTGACACTTGGATTTATGTTACCCTTTGCCCAAGGAAGAGGGACCACAGCAACAAACCCTCGGCCAAAGTGGAACCTGGGGACAAAGAGAAATTGTGTTTTTCTCTGAGCCCGAGTTGTGAAAGGGGGAAGTGCGTTGTCCTGAGGGGAGTCCCTGCAGCTGCAGCAGAAGGCAAGCCGGAGTGTCCACCTGCCTGACAGTGCCACGGCAGCGCTGAGAGGCCATGGGCCTGTGTCTCAGCACTGTGGCTGAGGACTGCGGCAGGAGTGGAAGAGCTCACCTGGCTGGTGGTGGGTCTGGTGGTGTGGGAATGCTGGCGATGCTGATGTGAGGCTGTGCTGGCCGCAGCTGGCTGTGGCTTGTGTCCTCCTGCATCCAGGTCTTCAGCTCTGTGCTTCCCCAGGACATTCATGTCTGTTTTCTATCCCTCTCCCTCCCTTCCCCAAACTTCTTTTCAGTTCTGACCCATGCTTGGCCGTTGCTGAGCGTGGTGGCTCCTGGACAGAGCCTGTTCTCCTGCATCCAGTCCTCACAGCTGGCCGATGTGTGGCCAGGGGGTCCTGCCTTGTCCTGCCCTCACTGCTTGGGGGGTGGCAGCCCCCCTGCCAGCGCAGCCAGGCTCACCGGTGGGCTTTGGCACCTCTGTTGCTGGGTGAGGATGAGTGGGGTCATCCCTGGAGCTGGGCCTTGTGCCCAGCCCTCCGTGGTGGTGCTGGGGGGTGGCGTGTGGCTCTGCTGCCACAGCTGCTCCCCTGGGGACCAGCTCTGTGGCCCTGGCAGTGCCTGTGGGTCACACGGTGTTGCTCCAGTCCCCAGAGAAACATTGTGAACTATGAACAGACCAAGTTCATAGGGTGGCCTTGGTGCCACTGGGTGGATGCTGGACGTGGAGTCACTTGGCACCCTTGGCAAAGCCTTTCAGCGTGGGGAAGAGATGTTTGCTCTAATACTCAAGGCAGGACAGGGACTGCAGTGGTGAGCAGAAAGAGTGGAGGGAGCCCAAAGCTGCTCCTCCTCACTGGCTGTTAACCCAGAGGTTGCACATGGGCTTCTCCTGCCTGTCCCCAGCAGCAATCTCAGAAGCCAGAAATCAGCACCTCTCTCCTGAGGTGTCCTGAGATGCAGCTGGGCTACAGAGGAGGACTGAATTCTGCAAATGTGCAGATCTGTACAGATCTTGACTATGGAATGAAACTGTTCTTCTGGTATTTGTTGAAGGGAAGAAAATCCTTCTGTCTCTTGCTGTGTCTAATATCAAGTTCTGTAAATAATGGATCTGTCTGAAGGAATAAAGCTATCCTGTAACAGCCAGACACAGGAGAGGGGCATGTGTGTGGCTGGGAGCACCGAGTGCCTGCTCTGGGACATGTCCCCGCTGGCAGCTCTTCTGCGGTGCTAAAAACCTGAGGTAATGTGAGGATTGCAACAACACTAGGCGAACGTGATGCTGGTGGAGTTGAGCTCAATTTATTGACGCAGCTTGGATCCTGCTGCCGGCCAGTGCCGCCTACCTCTGCGCAGGGCGGCGGAGGCCCTGGCTCAGGCCCTCAGCTGGGATGGTTTCCTGGGCTGGGTGGGTTTTCTGGCTAGAAGTCCAGGGCACAGATCAAGGCCGTGCCCCTTTTGATCCAGTGCTTCTGGGGCTTGTCTGTAGGGATCTCCACAGCAATCACGTAGTTGGTGGAGTGGCCCGTTGTCGACAGCGTGCCTGTAAGGGGGGGAGCAAGGGCAAGAGGGTGGTCCTGCAGCCTTGGCTGCTGCACACCCACTAGGGAGTCCCATACAGGTGACCCCAGGTGAGATGCCCTGTCCCACTCCTGTGCGAGAGGAAAGGCTGAGCAGGGCTGGGGGAAACAGGCTTGTGTATTTTTAGCTCTGGGCTGGAGGAGAGCTGGGCCAGAGACACTGCTGCGTAGCCAGGGTGCCTGGCGGCTCCACCTCCACAACCAGAGCCCGAGAAATCTCTTTCTGCCTGGCCGGACTCAGCCAACAGTGCCTCACTCCATGCATTGTGTGGCAGGCAGGAGAAACTCCTGCAACCTCTCCTGGGCTGCCCTTCCTAGCTGCTTCTACAAACTCTGTCTTTAGGGCACCTACCTGCACGAGTGAGAGTCTTATAGATGGGGCACAGGTAGGTGCCGGTGGCTGGAGGCTTGCGGTTGGAGACAGGCAGCAGCCAAATGACGGCCATCTCTGTGTAAAGCTCCTTGGGGCGTGACTCCGCTAACTGAAATGCAGTGGGGTCCCAGCGGGCGCCTTCGAGAAACAAGCCGTGGATGTAGCAGCCTTCGTCGGGATGGCGAGTGAGCTCGCTCACCGACTCCTTCATCACCTGCAGAGGAGAGCGGGCCCAGGGCCCCCATCGAGGCGCATCCCCGGAGGCTCAGCCCCAGGGACCCCCTTAAGCTGCTCTGAGCTAAGTCAGCGCTGCCTCAGGGGAGCCTGTCCCAGCTCTCAGACGGGCTGGAGTGGGCTTTCTGGCATCTCACGTCACGAGGCTGTGGGGAAGCCTGTGGGAAAGCCTGTGGAGAGGGATGTGAGCAGGTCTGCAGAGGCACAGAGGTCTCTCCTTGCCTTGTGGAGGTGTCTGGGTGTATCTTAAGCACAAAGGGGATGATGGGGTCCATGGGCAGCTAGGTAGCTAGTAGCTTCACTCCTTGGGCAGGTCAGGGCTAGATCTGCTGCCTTTCTGGCCTTCTAGCAGCAGATTAAAAAAAAAATCCAGAAAAATCCAGAGCCTCTGGCTGACTTACTGACCTTGAAGCTAAATGAGATGGTGTCAATGGAGATGACAGACTTCCTGGCGAAGTTCTGCAGTGTCCCCGTGAGGAAGGCCTGGGGGAAGAAGAACCCACTGATCCAGAACACGGAGGGGATCCCGTGGCTGATCCATTTCTGCAGGAATTCAATCCGCTGCACTAAGTCGGTCACCCAGGATGCCAAGGGCTTCAGTGACGGGTAGGCCTGTGGGGTGCCCATAGAGTAAGGTGTTGAAGGCATGCAAGGACACCCTAGACCTTGTGCCCCAGTTGCTGACAGCTGCCCAGAGCCCAGGGATTCATCCAGCCTGGGGCCGTGAACAACTACAAGCTGAACCAGGCAAGAGACATCTCCATGCCAGGGGAGCAAGAGCCAGCTCCATGTGAGACAGCCCAGTAAAGCTGTGGTGGTTGGTGACCCGTTCTCCTCGTTTGGGTGAGCTCCTGTGGGCAGCTGGGCTGGCTGGGGCACTTACCTTGGCATTCCACATCTCAGGGACAGTGTTGTTGTACAAGCTGCTGGCCATCAGCTCCAGCTGAGAGGACATCACAACCAGGCCCTTGAGAGCTTTCAGCAAATCCTTCAGTGTCTGAGCGACCACCTCCAGGAGCTTGTTGTACCTACAGAGAAAGAGCAGAAGGATCAGAGCGACTTGGTGCAGTGGTTTATTGCCCACATCTGTCCAGAGAGGAGCTGGAGCTCTGCACAATGAGTGAAGCTCCTCCATGTAACCCCCAGCCCCACTCCTTTATCAGGAGTCTCATAGCTGCTGCCCCCACCCCGGATTGCTGACAGTAGCAGATGGAGACACTGACCAGTCCCTGCAGGACAGGGATCAGCTGAAGGGTCTGGTTGGGACAAAACAGTTGTTACTGTGGCTGCCAACCCCACTGCCAAGCTCAGCAATATGGTTGCTCAAGGGGCCTACACATCTCATCTGTGAGCCAAGGAACCAGCCAGTTGCTGGCCCAGGACACGATCCCACAGAGGTTTTACCTGATCACCTCCTGCACCAGCACTGTGTTCATGGACTCTTCATAGAGCAGTGGGTATTTGTGGATCACCTCCTGTAGGTTCATGGGGGCAGGCAGCTTTGCCAGGATGACCTTGGAGGTCTCTTCCACGAGCTGGAAGGAAGACAGCAAGTGGGTGAGCATCCTCCTGGGTACGGCTGCTGGGCAGGGGGAGAGCTAACACCTGGATGGCAGTGCCATTGCTGGCACCTGGCAGGTGGGGTGGCATTAGCATTGCTAGCACCTGCTGAGAGCTGGTGTTTGTGCTCGCTGCCCACGTTGGGCACTGGCTGCCAGAGCACTGATGGGATTGGGGCACCCACCTCTTCCCTGCTGCGTCCTCCCACCGTGAAGGTCTTGGGTTGCAGCTGTGTAATGGCCCCCAGCAGAGCAAAGGTCTCATTCTGAGCGAAGGTGATGTTGGCGTTGTCGTGTAAACCAAAGAGCTCTGGGCTATCGTTGAGCGGCAGGCTCTTGATGTACTGGAGGTAGCCCTGGAGAGGAATCCATGTAGGTTGTGATGCCAAGAGCACGGGCATAAAGCTGTGGTGCCCCTTCGGGCTGCTGTGGGCCTGGCCTGAAATAAATGACTAAGCCATCACAGCCCTGCAGGTTCAGTTGGGAGATGTTCCTTGTCTTAGTGTTTGAGATTCATTCATCTAACTTTTACACAGCTCCTTGTCTCCTGTCACAGCCAGGAAACCTAAATCGCAGCTTTGACTTAGGGACAGCTTCTGTGTGCCCTGAGCAATGCTGGGTGACACAGCACTCGGGCTGTTGGGGATGCTGAGGGGGTGGCAGCACCTCTGAGTCATGTTTAGTGGCTGAGCAGAGGCCATGGCCGCAGTTTGTGGTCTGGCTGGGGAGTTAAATTGTGTTTGTGTGGAATCAAACACATGCTACGAGAACAGGCAGCTTGGCAGTGAGCTTCCTGCCATGTCTCCTGCAGAGCTCCTCAAGTGCTTTAGGTATGTGAAGTCAAAATGATTCAGAGTACAAAAGCTTTCAGCTGCAGCACTCTGGTAATAGCTGCTACCACCTCCTGTGCGCAGGGACAAGACTTTCCCCTGTTGCTTGAAACAGATGCAGTTTCCCAAAAGCAGCTGAAGATCCCCAGGTTCTTATAAACTTACATTCCCCCAGGGAACTGGAAATGCAGTGGGTTCCAGGGAGGA